CCTCTGGTGTCTCCATGTCTGCGTGCGCCTGTGTCCCATGGTCCTCTGTATGTCGACTGTGCTGAGGGTGTTTCCATGTCTCACAGACGACATTCACGTGAGGCTCAGCTCCTGGTATTTGTCACATCTGCCCCATCTCCTCTCTGGGATTGACACTGGCACTGGCCTTTAAATGGACTCCTTTTACACGTAAACAAATGTATGTTTACACATAATACAGTTAAATATATATTTTAAAATAAATGTATTCTAAATGGACCTGAAACTCAGTGTCATTTGCTAGAATGTAAAATAAATAAATAAATAAATAAATAAACGCGTAAATTTGAAAAAGGAATGTGCGCAGGCCTCCCAGGATCCCTTGGGGCTGCAGTGCTGGACATTACTGGAGTGGGATGTCTGTGTGTTGGTGTGAGCATTTGTCGAAGTATCTCTGTGTGGGGGCGAGTCTCTGTATGTGGGGCGTCTGGGTGGGTCTGGGGGGAAGGAGTGGTGTTGGGCACACACAGGTGTCTTGGGGGGCGCGGTATGGCAGAGGCCTGGTCCGGAGGCCAGTGCTCCTGGAGCTCATGAGTCCTGGCAGGTCTGCCCTATCGCAGCCTGGCCCAGGCCCACGCCGTGGAGGCAGGAGGGCCCTTCCTCCCCTCTGGCCAGATGCCAGGGCCATCCCCTTGTCCCTCACCATCAGCCCTAATCCCATGCCTATCCTTTTCTTGACCCTGGGACAATGGCAGCCTTGAGACAGGTCTGGCAGAGACAGACGCCTGGGTAATCCATGAGTGGCTGATGCCCGACATGGGACATGTGAGAGACACCCCTTCACTCCCCACTTCACCCTTCGATGTCCATACAGCACACTCCTGGCCACCTAAAGCCTCCCCACGACCTCCCAGGCTCAGTGCACAGATGGGGAAACCAAGGCACAAAGCTGTGAGAGTCCGGCGGCCTGGCTTCTCACCAGGGGCACATTGTGGCCTTGGCCAAATGGCAATTGCTCTCTGAGCCTGTTCTCCTATCAGTAAAATGGGAGAGGGGTTGGATGCTCTGGCCTCCAATCTGATTTCAGCACCCTTTGAGTGTCAGTCACAAATTTACCCTGGGCAGAACATGGGGGCTAGGCTGGCAAGGGGAGCCCTGCCCTGTGACCTCACCCCTGGGGAGGCAGTGATGGAAGTTCTGTGCCCATGGGCACTGGTCACCTTCAAGATTCTCCCAACCTTAGGTGAGGAAGTGGCAGCTTTGAGCGAGGAAGTGACCAGCCCCCCATGGCACAGGCACCTGTGGAGCTGGGACTTGGACCCTGTCTGCCTGAGTCCAAGTCTCCTTGCTCCGTCACATCACTCAGCAGCAAATGCATCCTCCTCCTTTAAAGAAACCGAGGGCCAGACAGGCTGTGTGTCTGACTCAAGGTCTTTGGTCCTGGGACCACGCTATCACGCCCGCGGGGCCTGCCGGTCAGCCCACACCTGCGAAGACAAAGACAGCACAACATCCTCAGCATCTGTGTCCACACCCGTCACCACCCGCCCTTCTCCCTTCCCAGCCCACTCTCAGCTCAGGTACCCGCAGGAAGGCCTCCCGGGGTGGATCTTGCTGTTGTCAGAGTTTCTCTGGCACCCTTGGCACCCTTGGCACCCTCCCTTGATGCTCTAAAGTCCATTTCCAGGATGCCTGTTCTCACAGCCAGCTAGTCAGGTGAGGGTGGGCACCTTTAATATAAGCCCATTTTGCAGATGGGGAAACTGTGGCTCTGCAAGGAAGTCACTCAGTAGTGGGTGACAGAGTCAGGATTTGAACCCAGGAATTTTGGCTCCAGAGCCTTCACTCTAAAAGCTAATGCCCAGGGGTGTTTCTCCTCATTGAGTCCCTTTCCTGCTCTAGTCCCTTCCGTGGCTGCCCAGCACCCTCACTAGGGTTCTGCAAAGGCCTCCATCAGATTGCTCTAGCGCAGTGGTTCTCAACCTTCTGGCCCTTTAAATACAGGTCCTCATGTTGTGACCCAACCATAAAATTATTTTCGTTGCTACTTCATAACTGTAATGTTGCTACTGTGATGAATCGTAATGTAAATATCTGATATGCAGGATGGTCTTAGGCGACCCCTGTGAAAGGGTCGTTCGACCGCCAAAGGGGTCGCGACCCACAGGTTGAGAACCGCTGCTAGTGGTTTGTTAAACATGGCAGTTCCTAGGCCCTCTATCCTTGGCCTGTTGAGTTAGGGTTGCACAGACGTGGATTTTATAAATTCCTTCGCATGGCCAGGCCCAATCCCTGACTCGCCTTTGGTTCCCGAGGAGACTTGCCTGGGGAGCTGGAAAGAATTGGGGAAGACAAGGCAGACCAGAAACTAGGTAGCATCTCCCGCCCTTTCAAGAGGCTGCTAGGCTGATGGGTGTTAAGCCAGGTGGCCTGGCTGGACTCCTGTGTGACCTCGGAGCAGTGGCTGCCCCTTGCAGAGTTCTGGCTCCTGAGTGTAAGATGGGGAGATATGACATTGCTGACTTCACAGGTGATTGTGGTGACTATACGAATTCACACGCATCAGTGCCTTGTAGACAGTAAGTGCTCAGTAACTGCTGGGTGCTAACTTTCCCTCCTCCTCCCGCAAACCAATGCCTTAAAAATATCCAGCGCTGGCGAGGATGTGGGGCAGTGGAGACTCTCCAGGCTGCCGGTGGAGTCCCGATGGCGGAGGACTCCCGATGCGGAGCCCTGGCAGTGCCTGGGGAAGCGGCACCTGAGCGCGCACCACGACGACCCAGCAACCCCGCTCCTGGCTAGGCACCCGGAGAAATGAAGAATAAAAATACATGTCCACAGAAAGACTTCACAATATTCATCACAGCCAACAACGGGAAGCCCAGGTGCCTCTGGACAGGAGCTCGGATAGCAGGCTGGTGTGCTCACGTAGTGCAGTGGCATTTACAGCACAGAAGAACGAGTCGTTGTCCCACACACGCGAATGAATTTCATGGACGGTGAGTGTGAGGGAAGCACACACAGAAGGGCACGTAGGTGCCACTCCATTCTGTGACCCTCAGGAGCATCCTGGGCTCGCCCGCTGTGTGAGCGGTCGGGGCAATGGTGACCCTTGGCGGACAGTGACTTGGAGGCACACCAGGCGGCTTCTGGAGGGCTCGGGTTGTGAAAATTCGTCCAGCTGTACACTTGTGATCCAGGCCCTTCTCTGTATGTGCTTTATATTTTAATTAAAATTTATTTTAAAAAAATGTATGTGGGTTTAGTAACCTGACTCGGTTTCTAAAGTCATTGGGATGAGCATTGCATGGGTAGGGGTTCCGAGGTTCGGAGGTGGACCAGGCCGATGCCATGGCTCCTCCCCATCTCACCAGGCAGGAGACAGACCCACAGACACCCAGAAACATGGTTACAGCCTGGCATGTCACAGGCTCTGGGAGAGAAAATCCCAGAGGGCTGTGGGATCACAGCCAGCGTGGGGATCAGGAGGGCTTCCTGGAGGAGGGGATACCCGAGCCAGGACCTGCAGAAGAATTGCAAATAACAGCTGAAGTCTGTAAGTCTGAACAGTAACCTGCAGGGCCTGTCACTTCCTTGATTCCATGCCCCTCACTCCCCTCCACCACACAGGCCTCCCTAGGGTTCCTGGGCACATGGCCTCAGAGCCTTGGTATTGCTGTCTGGCTTTCCCCCAGACAGCCACCTGGCCCATTCCCTCTCCTCCTGCTCCAATCTGAGGCCTCCCCTGACCACTTAGTGAGAACTGCACCCCTCCCTACTTCATTTCTGTCACCAGCCTCTGATGTACGGTATCATGTGCTTATCTGTTCCCTCCAGAGCTGTGTTGTCCAATGCCATGGTCAGTACCCATACGAGGTGACTGAGTGCTTGAAATGTGGCAAGTCCCCATTTGCTGCCCTGTCAGTGATTTCACAGACTTAGCATGAGAGAAAAAAAAGTGGACTATCACATTAGTAGTTCTATATTGATTAAACGTTAAATAATATTTTGGGTTAAATAAGCTATATTATTAAAATTAATTTACTTGGTGTTTTTTTATCTTTAAAAAAAGGCGGCTACTAGAAAAAATATTTTTAATATATTTTTATTGATTTCAGAGAAGAAGGGAGAGGGAGAGAGATAGAAACATCAATGATGAGAGAGAATCATTGATTGGCTGCCTCCTGCACGCCTCCTACTGGGGATCGAGCCCGCAACCCGGGCATGTGCCCTTGACTGGAATTGAACCCAGGACCCCTCAGTCCTTAGGCCGATGCTCTATCCACTGAGCCAAACCAACTAGGGCATAGAACAATTTTTAATTGTGTTGTATTGTTACTGGTCATCTCCTCCAGTGCAGGGATTTGTCCCTTTTGTTTACAGTGGTATCCCTGGCACCTAGCAAACAGTAGGAGCTCTATAAATGCTTGCTGCAGAATGAATGAATTTCTCTCCACCATCATCTGCACCAGCCTCAGGAAGGGAACAGAGCAGCCTTCTCTGGAGCTTGGGGAACACCGGGCCTTGGGGATGGAAGGGGAAGGGGGTTGGTGCCCCTCCCCCTAGTTGGCCCAGAGTTCCTCTCTCCAGGCCCCAGGGCCATCTCCAGGCCAGGCCTGGGGTAGGGGTAGCAGAGGGTCAGGAAACCCAGCAGCTTTAAGCTCTTTCCTTCCCTCCCTGGCCTTAGCTGGGGTAAGTGGGGAGGCAGGGTAGACTGTGTGCCACAGGGTGGCCCTTGGGACCCTGAGGGGAGACCCTATAGTGGGCTGAATGTTCACCCCCCAGCTCTTGGGGGGAGGATGGTGCCTTTGCAGCCCCAGGGCACCAACCCCAGCTCCCCAGCTCCCCTTTCTCACTCCTCCAGAAGGAAGGCTTAGCTGGGCCCGCAGGGAAAACCGCAATTTGCTTCTGACATGACACATTGACGGGTTCCTGGCGGCTGTGCCCCCTTTGTGTCTCCAGAGCCCTTGTGGGCATATAAGGGCCTCCCCCAGGCCTGAGAGGGTAGAGGAGCTGACAGGAGGCTGGGGACCCCACCCACCCCTTGTGGAGCTGCAGGAGCGGGTAAGGCAGCCTGTGACAGCCCTGTCCTTGTGCAGCTCCCCCACCATTGACCCTCTGACCAGCCAGCTGTCCCAGCTGAATAACAGGCACAGAAGGAATTCACCACAGGAGGGCCCTGGGGTACCTGGAGGTAAAGCTCATTTTACTGATGGGAATACTGGGGCCTAGAGAGGGGCAAAGGCAGGGACGGGAGGGCTGAAGGGCACCCATTTTTCTCTGAGCCAACTGGCTTCCCATGGTGGGAATCTTCCCTTCTGTGAGCTGACAGAGCGCCACGATGGGACTAGTCCTGGGGAAGCAGGCAGACACTGCCGAGACGGCTGCTGGCCCAGATGTGTCCCTATGAGCCTCTGTGCAAATGGCGCCAGGGCAAACTCTGGGCAAGTGAGGTGGGGCTGGATTTCGTCCCTCTCCGCCCCTCAACAGGCACGTCTCCAGCACACAACCATGCCTGGAGGCGCGGACGCATCCCTGCCCTCTGGGGGCTTACAAGGCAAACAAGGACACAAACACCACGCTTAGCTACAAATTGTGATAAGTGCCTAAAAACAAACATTCTGGGCGAGGCTCAGTGACAGAGGGGCCTCTTCAGACAAGGTTAAGGAGGAAGGGCTTTCCAAGGAGGTGACATGCATTCGGAACCTGAAGGGTGAGGAGTCAGCCATGCACAGAACCAGAGGAAGAGCCTTCCTCAGAGAGGGAACAGCCTGTGCAAAGGCCCTGGGGTGGGAAGGAGCTTGTCATGTTTAAGACCAAGGAGGTCAAAGAGGCAGGCAGGGACCTGGTGGGTACTGGTAAGGAGCCTGTGTTCTATCGCAAGAGCAGCAGGGAGTGGGGTTTAGGCAGGGCGACATGGGGACGGAAGGTAGGTGACTGAGGGGGCAGGTATGGAACTCCATAAAGAGAAACGCTCCTCTAGGAAACTAGAAAGCTAGCCAGGCTCTCATTTCCCATCCCATTTCTTCCTTTAACATCATTCAGGATGGAGGCAGGAGAGGAGAGAAAGGAGACGTTTTAAGTCACATAGACTTGGGCTCAGATTCCGGCCCTGTCACTCATTAGCTCTGTGACCTTGGGCAAGTCCCCCCCCGCCCCCCGGCAGTTTTCCCATCTCTGAAATGAGATTCTGTGAGGCAGAGGCCTGGAAAGTGCCCTGAAGCCTGTAGCGTGCACTGAGGCTGTACGTGGGTGCACATGTTAGCGCGGTTTGCATTTGGATGGAGAGGGCTTTTCTGGGAGTGAAGCTGGCCTTGAACTGTGCCCGGCCAGTGGAAGGGCACCAGGTTGGTGGTGGGGCACAGGGAGGGGAAAGGCTTGGGCATGAGGAGGGCCTCAGAGTTCCTGCTTCTGCCCCTGCCAGGTGTGCTGCCGACAACGTTGGGCATGTGGTCCCTGCTCCTGCTCTGGGGTCTGGCGACTCCATGCCAGGGGCTGCTTGAGACGGTGGGCACACTCGCTCGGATTGACAAGGATGAACTTGGCAAAGGTGAGCCCACTACGGACAGTTGTGAGGGGTCCAGCGACAGTGCAAATGACCCCATCCTTGTGCTTGGAGCGTCTGCTTTCAGGAACAGAGGGAACAGGTTGCGGTTCTCAACTGCTGAGAGAATTCAGGGACCCAAACGTTTGCTCTCAGACTCTGAGTGGTTAGCTCACTTTCTTCTGAGAGGGGGCCTGGGTGATCTGGGCTGAGGCCCTGTGGGGCTGCATCAGCCTCAGGGACGCGGACAAGTGGGGTTGAGGCGGTCAAGGGGAAGGTGCTGGCCGTCCCACATTGCTGTGTTCCCACTGCCCCGGGGTGACAGTCTCATGGGCAGTAGAGCAGTCCTGAATAGAAAATGCTTCAGGGAGGCCCCCCCCACCTGCCCCAACCTCCACAAGGTGGCCCCTCTGTCCTGCCCTGCACACAGTCTACACACAGTCAGGCTAGGGGTGCCCAGAAGCAGTCCTGAATAGAAAATGCTTCAGGGAGGCCCCCCAACTTGCCCCAACCTCCACAAGGTGGCCCCTCTGTCTTGCCCTGCTCACAGTCTGCACACAGTCAGGCTAGGGGTGCCCAGGAGGAGCAGAGGTTGCCTTCTCCATCTTGATCAAGCCCTGGTGGCTGTGTGCTCCCTTCTTTGCTCTGTCCTCCTACCAGATAGCTCAGGGTCAGGAGCCCTAGTCGTACTATTGGCACCAAATCTGATTTGCTGTGTGACTTTGGGCAAGTCTCTGCCCCTCTCTGGGCCCTGGTTTCCCCGTTTGTAAAAGGAACCTATCTCTCCCCACCCTCTCTGCAGCCATCCAGAACTCGCTGGTCGGGGGTCCCATTCTGCAGAATGTGCTGGGGTCGGTCACATCAGTGAACCAGGGCCTCCTGGGCTCCGGAGGGCTGCTTGGAGGAGGCGGCCTGCTGGGCTACGGAGGGGTGTTTGGTGTTGTGGAGGAGCTGTCCGGGTGAGTCACCGCAGCATGGCTTCCTGACGGCCCACCTACTGTGTACCCTCCAGTGAGGCTGGTCTTTTCTTTCGTTCAGGGAATAGAGGAGAGATTGTGTCTCTTTAATTTATTGGCAGGCAGTGGGGGTGATACGGGGAGCCCTGAGTAGGGAGTCCCAGGACCCGAGTCAGAAAATAACGAGTCTACGGCATGTCAGGCAAGACAGGAAGGGCAGCAAGCCCCTGCAGCTGAGTGTTCCAGCTGTGTGTTGATCCAGTTACTCACTGTGTGACCTGAGCAAGTTGCTCAGTCCTCTGGGCTAGTCCAGGCCCCTGCATGGCTCCCTCTCTCCTCTTCTTCAGGTGTCTGTTCTGAATAGCCCGGCCCTGACTAGCCCTTCATTGTCCCCTTCTTTCCTTCAAGTTCTCCGGGGGACCTATCGCTCCCTTGCACCCCATATATTTCACTGGATTTTCCTGTCTCCCCTGCTGGATTTATACCCCAGGAAAAGCGGGACTTTTGCCTGACTTGTTCATTGCTATGTCCTCAGTATCAAAAATAGTGCTTCACACATAGTTAATGCTAAAAAATACTTTTGAATGAATGAAATCACATAATAACTAATATTTATAACTTAAGACCACCTAGCCAGGGTTTTCTGGTGTCTGGCACTGTGCTAATCACTGTAAATGAATTATCCCATGGAATCCAGAGGTAGGACTGTTATCAATCGCATTTAACAGGTAAGGAGATTGAGGCCCTGGGCAGTGAAAGGACCTGTTCAAGCTCACCCAGCTGGGGAGTGTGGCAGTGGGGGTGGGGGGGGGAACCAGCCCAGGGCTGGTAGTGAATCACGGGAAGGTCAAAGGACAGGCCCCAGACTGAAGGCGGAAGGCCAGGAGCCAGGTATGGGGAAGAGTCGCTGTGTAGGAGGAAACGGGTTGCTGGGGGAAGAAGAGGGAATGGATGTGCACCTCCCCAAACAGCAAATGTCTAGAAAGAGAGCTGGTAAGGGCTGACATGGATGTTGCTTGAGGACTACTGTGTGTCACTGTGGTCGGTATTGTCAATATCCCCATTTTACAGGTGGGGAAACTGAGGCACACAGCAACAATGCGATTTGCCCAAGGTCACACAGTCAGTTAGGAGTAGAGCTGGGACTTGAACTGCTGTCTTTTATTGGCTGCACTAGACCAGCTTTGCATGGGGTCATTGCCAGGAAAGTGAATTAATATGTGTCAAGGAGCTAAATAGAGGTTTCCGTACACCAAATGCTCAATAAATATTAACTATTATTATTATTAATAGATCTAGTCC